GGGACAGACAGCATTTGCACAGAATTTAGAAAAAGGAGGTCACTGTGTTTTAAAAAAATCTGTACATAAAAGGAAATAAGATACGTTATGCACACATACTAACTCCCCATGATTAATGTAATCATTATATACTGCAAAAATGCACCAATAAAAATTTTTAAATGTTTAAAAACTGCAAGTAGGTACTCAAGGCAAGTTCTAAAATATGGAAAACACTGGTAATCAAGAAAACATACGTTTCTTTTATCCTCATACAATAAGGTAGCAGGTAAGGCATACAATCCTATTCCTAACTCTCTCATGTAGTATTCCAAAGCATTTAAATAAGGTGATGTATAGCCCTGGCAGACTCTCTTCCCTAACCCTCCTGTAAAATTTAGTCACTCCTCAAATCCACAGTTCATTCACATGTCTTTCCTTTTAATACAGAAAGATAATGTATTTTTACAAAGTAGGAATAACGGTTATTAGATAAGCAACTCTTATCTATTTAGCTTTAATTCAGATAAAGAATATTCCTAGTCCTATTTATGGCTAAGATGTTTGGTTTTGTTTCTACCTTTTCCTCTTTCTTCAGCACCTTCCTCATCTGCCACAGTGCTCTACAATCCTTTCCTTTGTGCATATATGATAGCAAGTGTGTTCAATGCTAGATACTGCTTTCTTTCCTTGACAATCAAAATTCTATGTCAAAGATTCCTAAGTCTTCATCTCTAGTATAGCTTTTCCAAAGTCCTAGATAGCTTCTAATAACTACAGTCCATCTCCACTTGTTCATTCCACAGATATTCAAACTCAACATTATCTAGAATTCAACTCATTACCTTCTAGGCCAAATCTGTTCACCTTCCTTTTGCGTTGCCTATCTCAGTATAAGGCACTAAACCTAAATACTTTTCAGTCTAGGTATTTTTACATCACTGTATGTTCCTGTTATTTCCCCCCACCCACTCCTTTCAAAACTTTTTTTGTGGTACTAGGGATTGAACCTAAGGCATTTGCACTGAGTGATATACCAGCGCTTATAAAACTTTTTATTTTGAGACAAACTGCCTTGTTAAGTTGCCATACTGTACGGGCTGGTCTCAAAACTTGTGATCAAAACTTGTAGGAGCTTGTGAGAAATGCAAACACTTATGCAGACCTACAGGCATATGGACACAGTGGATCTTTTGAGAAGCATGGTCTGAGATGGCAATGGTCTCAGTATCTTCTCAGGAATGTTAGAGAACCTGAAGGAGAAAGCAGTGTTCAAAAATCAAACCTGAAAAAAAAAATCAAATCTGGAAATAAATCTCTGTTCCTAAAATTAAATCCTGGAGGCTTGGAGTTTTACAAAAGCAGGTAGTAGTTCTTCACAAAGGGACCTCCCTAGCATAGGTTTGCCTCCCTCAAATCCTATCCTTCACACTGCCACTAGTAGGAGTCTTTTATAATTTTTTTTTTGGGGGGGGTCTTTGTTTCCCCAGCTTCAATGGCTCTCCATCATTTAAAGTCCAAATTCTTTACCATAAAATTAAGACCTTCAAAACCTGACACAAGCCCTTCTCTCACCATTCTTGTACATAGTCCCTACACCAGAAGTTTTCAAACCACGTACTCAACTAGGCAGTTTAGTGTTTTGCAAGGTCTCTCAGGTCATCTAAAGTGCATCAGGGGTCAAGGACCAGTGACCTATATTTATAATCAAACTACTTTCCATGTTGCCACACAAAAGCAAACAATACTCTAGTCCCATTGCCTGCCACCTTTTCCTACTTTGCCTTTGTCCCCTGGGATGAATTCACAGAATTTAATAGCTCAACTACCACCTCTTTTTTGAAGGTGAAGAGACATCTTTGTCTACCTTCCCCAGCAGGCAGGTGAAACAGGGGTCCAGTTACTCCTTGCTGCCACACCCCATCCCTGTGTCTATCTGTATGTTTGTTACTGCACAGCCCACAATCCATGAAATAGTGTCTATAATTGTCTGTCTGTCCTACTAGCCACTGGTCTCATTTGAAGGCAGAAATTGTATCCTATTCATGTTTATAGTCTGTGCTTGACCCAGAGATTAGAACATAACAGATATGCAATAAATGCTTACTGCAAATAATACTGAATTTCTGAATCCTGATTGAAGAGATCTAGAGTAATATAAAATAAAATAAAACTAATAACATCCTACCTGCCAGGGGATTTCATTAATAAGAGGAACTTTTTAGTTCTACAATTCTACATTTAGAAATGAATCAAATTCACATATAATAAAGTAATTCATATATAAAATGAGTAGATTCTATCAACCTAACAGTGACTGTTGATGCTTTTTAGTTTTCATAGTAACAGCAAAGAATAAAATAAGATGATCCTGGGTGTCTGAAAAAGAGTATTAGTAGAAGGATACAACATAGAGAAAGTGAACTTTAATCAACTAAAATTACAACAAAACTTAAGAAAGCATCAATGGATAATGTTCAAATGATGAAGCGTAACAAAGTATACATATTATTTATCTTGAAATATGGAAATGAAGACCAGGAAGAAAAGCCAAAAGAAGTGAGGGTAAGGTATGGGTGGGCGGTAGGGGATAGCTCTTTGAAGGAAAATAAATAAACCATCTAGTACTATTTGCTCAAAAACAAAAACAAAAACTACCAAAAACTAAATAGTTTATCTTAGTTTGTTGAAAAAAAAAGTTTGTGTCATCTTTTTTTTGGGTAAGAATCTGTTCAGTTTATATCTTCTACTGAGTAACTGCTTCGAAGGTAATGATATACAAACAATGCAATAACTATTGCTAGTCTCTTAATAGGTGGTTATGAAAATTTTTTATAAAATAAAATAACAAAAACTATTATTTAAAAAAATCTAGTGAATTAGGAAATAGATTGCCAAAAGAATTAAGTGATATATCGAAAATAGTACAGTAGTATATAGAATTTATCCCTACATGTACCAGGGAAAAATATCAGTATTTTTTTTCAACAGTTTATTCTTGACCTCTTTAGTTAATGAACCATTAATATCTGTAATTTTATATGTATGAAATTTCATCTCAATGGAATTTACTCATGAAGGTACCTCTGATAGAGCTAAAAACTGGTATTTAACTTTTTACATGGAAAGACAGATAAACAATAGTAATAATAACAAAAAGTCACTCTGAATATTAAGGAAAATTATACAATCTACAGTAATTTCCAACTATTGTGCCACTAACTTTACCTATTAATTTGTAAAAAATCTCAGATACAGCAAAAAACCAAAAGTTTTTTCAAGATTTTCTACTGCTGCCCCAAACTTCTATGTATATCTTAATGGTTAACCAAGTTGTGTTACTCTGCAAACTATGTATGTTTTAAAACAAAACTAAAACACCAACATTTTAACTAAAAATGTAAGCAAGGGGAATTTTCTTACAGACTAATTTCTCTGTTATGCATCCAAATACTGAATCTTATATTGGAACATAGGTAGCTACAAGGAACATAGAAGATATAATTGAAATATGTGCATTTCTTTCACTGTTATGTTTTACTATTTAAAAAACCTATTAAAAATATATTTGGTGAACAGAAACTATTTAAAATTACTTTATTGTCCTTCGTAACACATAGACTATGAAAAAGCATGTAAGATTATTGAATATACTTAACTCTATGAAAATATCAAGAAATTTTCCAAAATCTAGGAAAAATATAAAATAAAAACATTCTTGATAGTTTTTAAAAATCTGTACTTTGACTAGAGCTAAACTTTCCATTTTAAAGGACCTACTATCTAAATGTACTAATTTGAAAAAATAAAAATAAAAAACAAAAAGACTGAACTGCCATAAGCTGGTGTTCCACAGGCTACTAACGCTTACCTCAAGGGAACCTACTGCAGATAAAGTCCCGTCACTTGCACGGTCCTTTCAGCTGCCTGCCAGTTGTCTCTGTGGAAGGGAAAGCCTGATGAGTGAGAACCCTCTGCCACACTCCTTTGGAGGGTCAGGGTGCCTGCACAGAACTTCACAAAACTATCCACCTGGAGAGCCCTAGGTGCTTTCAATAACAAAGGACTAAAAAGATGCCACCTTAGAACCTCCCTTTCTGCCGAACACTGAAACCAAATGCCAGAGTTACTGAGCATTAATATCCTCCGGGTACTATCAAGATGATATATCTACACTAACTCAAGTAGAAGAAGAGACAGAAATGGTTCAAAAAGTTAAGCTAACACTGACAAGGAACACACACACACACACACACACAGTAACACACATACACGTAAATATGAAAAATTAAGTGACAGAACTGTGTAAAAATCGAGGAGAGAAAAGGCTATATCCGCAAAAAATAAAGATATAGCATTAACAGATGAATGTTAAAACCCAAAGAAATTCCTGTTTACCCATTTTAAAAGATGCCATTAAGTATACCATGCTTAAAATATACTATATCATGGATGCATATGTCTACTAATAAAATACTATGCATTTTTTGGTAGGGTCAGTATGTGGGTGGGTGGAGAAAGGATCTGGCAGATTTTTATCAATATGCAAAGTGAAAATCAGCAGTATGAACGCATAAAACTCTAAATAAAAGAAAAAACATGTATTTGCATCTAAGTACAGAAATCCTTATTTGGGATTAGATTAAGAAAAGAAGTAGAAAAGTATAATAGAAAACTGTGAAGTGTATCTCAAAAAACCACCTTCATCTTATAGAATTATAAAGGCTAATAACTGTCTTCCATTAAACATATTTATGCATCACTACTGTAGTATAATTTAGTTACAAAACCAAAGAAATTATATTTTCTAATACCAAATACAGCCTTATAATCTGAATATTGCGCATCATGAGGTAGAGCAAATTAGTTCTACAAGAAACTTTAAAATAATTAACTCTTATCCTTGGTACCCCCCCAAAAAAATAACTCAGCACCAATAACGATGAACAGAGGGAGTCTAATTAAAAAGGCGATTCCAACTTTTACTCTAATAGCATCATATTTAAAATGAAATTACTTACCTCTGATTCTTTGTCACTTAAAGATCCCAAACTTCCAAAACTGTGATTAGAGCTTTCATTATTTGTTGAGGCCTGTTAAAGATTTATTAAAAAATAAGAATTAGGAGTAATTTAAAATAAAAATTTTATAAAGTATAAAGTTTATCTTAACAAATGAAAATAAAGTATGATCCCTTATAAGCAAGAAAGCCACACAAAATAAAAATCAGAAATATCAAGTACTTAACGCTGTAAATACTATGGAAAGCTTTATTGAGTCATTTAGAGTTTTACTGAGTCAAAGTAATGCTCTGTTTCAGGAACTGAGTTGTATTACCTAATTTGGGGGTAGGAAATACCAGGCATTGAACTCAGTGCCTTGCACTTTAGCTACATACCCAGCAGTTCTTCTTCAGTTTTTTGTTTTTTGGTTTTATTTTCATTTTGATACTCTAAGAGACCAACTTGTAATCCTCCTTTCTCTCAGTCTTCCATATGTTACCATGCCTGACTTTAGCCGATTTTTTTTAAAGCAAAGTAATTGGGGAGCCACACCCCCAGCTGATTGGATGGAGCTGTGTACCCTGAACAACCAGATGGAGCCAACCTGAGAGAGCCTCACCACTGACTCTCACCCAACTCCATGTCTGTGGATTCTGTGTCCTGGCCATGTCCACCTTCAAACTCCTAGCCAGCTCTGTGTTTTGACTGCCCTTACCCAGGCAATAGAGACACCCACCAACCAAACCACCTGATCATGGACAAGGCCAATGCCCAGGAACAGAAGAGGCAAAGATTCAGCAAGCTGCCTAATACAACGGGATGATGCAGTATCCAGCCACAACCATCTGCCAACTTCAACCTTGTTCTATACTTTGCTTCCCACTGGCATGGAGCAGCACAGGCATGGTCTAATTGACAGACCTGATCCTGGACAAAGACAATGCCTAGGGAGAGAAGGTAAGCCCACAGGGATAGCAGACCCAGGAGAAAGTACTGTATAGATCTGGCTAGTAGCTTTAGGGATTCCAGTGTTACCCTCTCAAAGTGACTGGGATAGACACAGACTCTCTGAGCTTAAACTCAGGTCAGGAAACACACGGGGCCTACCATGCACAGCAAGAAAGCAGGCATGGTAAATGCTGACATTAAGTCCAAGAGTCTTCTTGAATTCCTGCCCTCTAGCCTACATGCAGCAGAAACCAGAGGGCTCACTTTTTCCCTACCTATCAATATGAGCATAGACAGGCCTCAGCTTGGACAGTGACTACAGTCTGGGGTGATGTAGGGAGCTGTGTTAGTTACTTTTCTTTCATTGCTGAGCAGGAAGACAGCAAAAAGCAACAAGGGACCTTAAGAGTGTCTTTCTGTTCCTCTTATCTTATTCAGACTACCAGGATTAGGGTAGTACCAAACCAATCGCTCATGGATAATGGATTAGTAATCACACGCCCTTTAGCATCACACGCTCTAGATTCACCTACCTCCAAAACAGCCTATGACCAGATGAGGCTTTAGAGGGACATCTAGACACAAACCATAACAGGAGGGTACCTCACAACCCACAGGCCCTAATGTTAGACAGAGAGAATTGTGACTTGCTAGATTCTTGCTTGGAGATCCTGGAAAGAAACCACTAATTCAAGACCACAGGGGAATTCTTTCAACTCAATCTTTTAAAAACGTTTTTACTATTTTTCTCTTTTCTTCATCACTTTTTTGTTTTGAGGGACTGGAGCTCCCCCACCCCATTTAATTCTTTTTTCTTTTCCCCTTTTAACAGTTTTTTTCTTCCTTTTAATGTTTCTTTTATTGCCTGTATTTGCTGTTTTTCTTTTCTTTTTTCTCTTTCTCCTTGTTTGTTCTTTGTAGTAAATGTTTCCTAATACTAATTTCCTTCTATTTCTTAATAGGATTCCTTATCTCACTTTTCTCTCCTCTTTCTCATCTTCCATTAACATGTTCACGATGGGGCCATTATTTGTATGCCTTGCTGCTGGGTGACTGATTTAATCCATACATCTTGCAGCCAGGCAGCTCTGAATTAATTTTAATTAGTAAAAAGACTAATTAAAAGCGATCAGATCTGTGTGTACCACCAGTGATTCATGCCACCTGATGGGACAGTCATCTACTTACCACAAGTAGCTCAAGTCAGCTGCAACGTGAATTTTACTTTTTTCATTCTCTAGTTCCCCAACCCTCTACCTTAACTAGTATAACTATTAAACTTTATGAATCTTTACACAGCTAGCTAACTCTATGTTATTCAGGTTGAATACTCTTCTATTGTTCGTAAAGGTAAAGTTCCATTTAGTAAATATTTACTATAGGTCAGTATTTGGTTTGTCTTAGTGTTTATACTATAATTACAGACCTCTTTTCAATGGTTAGGGCAGTACATTGCTGGTGCACAGGGTGTGTAAATGTCTACTTTGTCTTTGACAATATTATTATTTCCAATTTTATTACTACAGCCAAGGTAACATAGTTGTTAATATTAATGGAGTTTCTCTGGATGCCAATATCTAGATTGCCTTTGTGTCATTAACTGTGGCCCATGTCCAGAGAACTGGGCAATAAAATATACTGCAGCCTTCTCTCTCAAATAAATGGAGATGGCTGGATCCTTGGATAGAGGCAAAGACCAACAGTTAACCACACCCAGAATGGACTGCTGAACAGTAGACATTAACTGAAAAGTCTCCATACCAGGAATAAACCTGTCTACTTTAATCAACCTGCAGCCTCAGCACAAGAAACAAACAATAACTATACAGAAATATAAGAAAACACAACACCAAAATGCCTCGAAAAACTCCCAACTCTCCTAAAGTTGATCCATGGGGCATTAATGGGAGGAAAGTAAAAGCCACACAGCCAAACTGGGCCTGATAGCACACACCTGTAATCCCAGCACTCAGGGGGCTGAGGAAGGAGGATCATTGTGAGTTCAAGACCAATCTGTGAGTTCAGTCTCAACTACATAGTGAGACCCTGTCTCAAAAAACAAAAGAACAAAAAAAAAAGCCACACAGCCAAATTATTTGAAATTATAACAGAGGAGCTAGCACACCAGAACAATAATGCACTTGGCAAATTCAAAGATACAGCTAAACAGAATAAAATAATATAAAATAATGAGCAAGTCTACAGAAGACACTAATAAAAAGCTAGCTGAACTAAACACAATTGTACATAACATGAATGATTAGCATAAAAAAGTAGAGCCCATAAAAAGGTATCAAAGAAAACTTTAAAAGAGACTAAAAATTATATCAAAAGTATGGGCAGCAGCGTCAGAACTTGGAGACAAGGCTAGTTTTGGTGACCAGTTAATGAGGCATACCATAACAACAAGCGAACATGTAAAATAGATCTGGCATCTGCTACATGATGCAAAGATGATTAAGATTAAGTAGAATTACTGAAAAATCAGAAGACAGCACAAAGTGCATTTAAAAACGTCTTTACTAAATAGAAAACTTCACAAATATAGGACAAAAATGTAACATACAGACAAGTGAGGCATATAGAACCCTACATGGCCACAATTAGAAAAAGAATCTCCCCATAACACATCATATTTAACATCCTAGAGTTCAAGCATATAACAGAATTCTTCAAAGTTCTTAGAGAGAAGCATTGACTCACTTCTAAAGGTAAACCCATTAGAATTACATGAAACTTACTTCTCAACACAAATCTTAAAAACGAGTGAAATGTTTCAACCCCTAAAAGAAAACAACTTTCATGGAAACAGTCTTTGTAAATAGAGGAGGATGGAGTGGGTGAAAGGAGAGCAGGGGTAAGGGGAAAAATGAGAACCAAGATCTGTCATGTAAAGGTACAAGATCCCAATGATGAATGCAACTGTGCTGTATACTTAAAAAGTACCAACGGGCCAGGGATTTGGCTCAGTGGTTCCACTTCCTGCCTAGCAAGCACAAGGGCCTGAATTCAATCCCTGGCACCAAAAAGAAAAAGAAAATGAAAAAAAATTATCAATAAACTCAATTAAAAAAAATAGATACCTACAGTGTTCCAACCAACAACAGAATGCATTCTTCTTAGCAGTATGTTGAACTATCCCCAGAGTAGACCACAAACCGTAAGTCAATAAAGCACGCTTAACTAAAGGCAAAGAACTGAAATTACACCATGTTCAGATAATGGTACAATGATACTAGAAATCAGTGACAAAAGGAAATACAGAAACTATGTAAAGAGATGGAAATTAAACAATATACTCTTGAATAATCAGTGGGTTTCAGAAGAAATAAGACAGTTCTGAGAATTAAACAATAATGCCAATACCACATACCAAATCTTTTTGGAAACATTGAAAGCAGCCTTAAAAGGTAAGTTTACAGCTGTAATGCCTACATCCCCAAAAGAAAGCAAGACCACAAAGAACCTAATGATGCACCTCAAGATCCTAGGAGAAACAAGAATCCAAATCCAAAACTAGTGCAAGTAAGGAAATTATAAAGATCAAAGTAGAAGTCAATGAGGTTGAAACTTAAGAACACAAAGAATCAATAAATCAAAGAGCAGATTCTTCAAAAGAATAAACAAAAGAGACAATCCAAAAGACCCTAATCAATGCAATTAGAAACAAAAAAAGGTGAAATCACACTGGGGATTTAGCTCAGTGGTATGATGCCTACCTGGCAAGCGCTAGGTCCTGAGTTTGATCCCCAGTACTGAGGAGGAATAAAAAAAAAATAGGTGCAATCACAAGGGATATGGCTGAAATACAGAAGATTATTAGCAACTACTTTGCAAACCTGTATGCCAATAAATAGGAGAACTTAGAAGAAATAAATAAATTTCTAGATACATATAAATTACCAAATTGAACAAAAAAGAAATAAAACCCTGAATAATTCAGTAACTGGCAATGAAATTGAAGCAGTAATTAAAAAAACAAAACTACAAACCAAGAAAAGTCGAGGGCTGAATAGATCCACTGCTAAATTACACAAGAACTTCAGAAAGATCTAACACCAATGCTCCTCAGCTCTTTTATGAAACTAAAAGGGAAAGTGTATTCCCAAAGTCATTACCAAAGCTAACATTACCCCGGTTTC